AAAATCAAGGGATGAAACTCCCTGGGTTCCACCATTCCAGTCTTCTACTATGTACCCTCATATACCCCTAAAAGGTTCTTGAATCTTGAATTCTATCATCACAACTCCTGGCACCAGGAGTCCTGGCTTAAGGTAGAAATTTCAGACCACAATGCTACAGGTTTGGAAAAAAAGGGTTGACACATGAGAACTGCTACTAGATTCCCAGTTTTTTGGAATGTTGGGGAAGAGGAATAGGATGGGGGGCAGAAGAGCTAAGTCAGAGACCCTTCTCCCTAAATACTCTTAAAAAATGAGGGGCAGCTAGGTGGGGCAGTGGATAGAGCACCAGGCCTGGAGTCAAGAGGACTGGAGTTCAAATCGGGCCTCAGACCAGACACTTACTAGCTGTGTGATCCTGGACAAGTTACTTAACCCCAATTGTCTCACCAAAAAAAAAAAAAGACTAAGAGCAAATTTAACTTAAGGGCCAGTCTTGGTCTTATTTTTGTGAAAAACAAAAACACCAGGCTGTACTCAATTCAACAGCACATACATTAAAACTGGATCAATACTGAAGATTAGCATGGCCTACAAGCAAAACTGATACAGATTCAAGAAATGTTCATATTTCTATAATAAAAATGGCATTAGTACCTAAATAAATTTACTTATTCAATGCCATGCCAAACTACCAAAGGATTACTTTACAGAAAAAGAAAAAAGAAAAATTAAATTCATCTGGAGGAATAAAATATCAAAAATCTCAAGGGAAATAATGAAAAAGTGGGAAGGAAGGTAGTCTAGCAGCACCAGATCTCAAAACATACTTTCTACAAAGAAATAATTCTCAAAACAATTTGGCACTGCTTAAAAAATAGAGCAATTAGTAAAAGAGATGAGGTGAAAAACATACAGATGCAAATAAACCTAATAAGCTAGTGTTCAATTAAATCCAAAGACTCCAGCTACTGGGGTAAAGTCTCACTATTTGATGAAAACTGCTGGGAAAACAGCACTCTAGTTAGAAATTAGGTTTAAACCAACCTCATACTATATACCAAGGTTAGCTTCAAATGAATACATGACATTGATATAGAAGGTCACATCATAAAATATTAGAGGTACAAGGAAGAAAATAGTCTTTCAAATATGAGACCAGGAGAAGAGTTTATAACCAAACAACGGATAGAGAGGATCACAGAAGACAAAATGGATAATTTTTATTATATAAAATTTTAAAACTTTTGTACAAACAAATCACAAATAGATAAAATTAGAAGGCAACCAGTCAACTGGGGGGAAAAAATCTTGGCAACAAGCTTCTCTGATAAGGGTCTCATTTCCCAGCTATATAAGAAACTGATTAAATTTATAATAATAACCAATTTATAAGACTAGAGCCCCGATTAATAAATAGTTCAAGGACATCAACAGGCAGTTCTCAAGGAAATACAAAGTATCTATAACCATATGAAAAAATGTTCCAAATCACTAATAACTTGAGAAATGAAAATTTTTCTAAGCAACTCTAAGATTCCACCATCACACACCCCGGCAAAAGTGACAAAAAAAGAATATGAGAAAAGTCAGAGTGGTGGCTGAGAGAAAAAAAGGCAGCTGGTGGAGCTGTTAATTGGTTCAGACATTATGGAAACAATTTGAAATTATGTCCCAAAATTTACTAAACTGTACGTTCCCTTTGACCCAGTGATACCACTATTACATCCATATACTCCAAAAAGGTCAAAGAAAGAGGAAAAAGTCCTTCATATAGAAAAATATGTGTAGCAGCTCTTTTTGTAGTGGCAAAGAGCTGGAAACTAAGAAAGTACCTATAGAATGGGGAATAGATGAACACATTCATTATGGTGTATTAATGTAAAGGAACAACATTGTGGTATAAAGAAACAAAAAGTGATGGTTTCAGAGATACCTGAGAAGACTTGTTTGAACTGATACAGAAAGAAATGAGCAGAAAAAGTTATACTACAATATCAATAGTACAAAAATAAGCGGTTCTGAAAAGACTTAAGAACACTTATCAATACAATGATAACCATGATTCTTAACATCTGATGATAAAGAATGCTGCAGGGCAGCTAGGTGGCACAGGGGATAGAGCACCAGCCCTGAAGTCAGGAGGACCTGTAGTTCAAATCCAGCCTCAGACCAAACACTTGACACTTACTAGCTGTGTGACCCTGGGCAAGTCACTTAACCCCAACTGCCTTAAAAAAAAAAAAATGCTGCCCACCTCAAATATGAAGAATGAGAAACGTATTTTTGGATGTGGCCAATGTGGGAATTTGTTTTGACTAAGCTTGTACGATACAAGGGTTTTTACATTTCTTTTTTTTTTTAAGGAGAAAAGTGAAGGGAAAATAATAAATGCTTGATAATTAAAAAATAAAATGTAAAAAAATGTTCCAAAGAAAGCAAGTCCTCAATCTCTCCCCAACACTACATTCTCTCCCACCCCATCCCCATACAAAAAAAAAAAAAAAAAATCCTTTTGTTTCATGAGACCAAAGGTTTAAAATCCAAATACCTAAATGAATGGTAACATATCCATGTAAATAATAACCGACATTTAAATAAACACCTACTCCATAATGGGTACTGTGCTAAGCACTTTTCAAATATTATCTCATTTGCCATTATTATCCCCATTTTACAAATAAGGAAACTGAGGCAAATAGCGGCTAAGTGACTTGCCCAGGGTCTCACAGCTAGTACATATATAAGGCTGGATTATAAGTTATGTTTTTCTGATTGAAGGCCTAGCATTCTATTCACTGCACAACCCATATGCCTCAATGCTTAATGCTTCTGGGCCTGTTTCCTCATTTGCAAAATGAGTAGTTGGATAAAATGATATCTGAGGTCTTTTACAAATCTAAATGTATGATCTGAAGCCGAATCTGAATCAGGTCTTCCTGACTCTAAGCCCAGTGCTCTACCAACTGACCCACCTAATTAGTTCAAATTATAAAAATCAGATCCTTCTCTTTTGAATGGATAGGTGTTAAAGACCCAAAGTGCCAGAAAAAAAGCCTAGTGGAGAGGCTCAAGAGAGAAAGTGAACTGCAAAGACTGAAGAGAAGCAAGGAAAACCTGGAAGTCTTTACTGATTTCAATTTTTCTCCTGCCCCCACCTATCTTCATCTTTGGAGAACAATTAGAAGTTATGCCAAAGGTACTTCACATCCTGAAGGCCTTAACACCTGGAACTTCTGAGGAAATCACCACTGGAATTATCTGGCAATAACAAAAAAGCAGAACTGGCTAGAGCAGGGTTGGGAAACCTGTGGCCTTGAGGCCACATGTGGCCCTCTAGGTCCTCAAGTGCAGCCCTCTGACTGAATCCAAACTTCACAGAAGAAATCCTGATTTGTGGCCTTGAGGCTGCAGGTTCCCCACCCCTGGGCTAGACTAAAGAGTACAAGAAGAGGAGTAACATATAAAATTGGCAAAGGAGGCTGGACCTTATAAAAAGAGCAGCTTATACTTGACCCTAGTAGCAACAAGCACTTTCCTGAGTAGGGAAGTAACACAGTCAGACTTGCACTTCAGGAAAAATCACTTTGGTGCATTGAGGATGGATTGAAATGGAGAGAGACTTGAGATAGAGAGATGTCAAGAAGCTACTGTAAATAGTCCTGGCAGAAACGTATGAACTGTGACTATGTGAGTAAAGGAGATGGACAAAATCTGTAAAGTGACTAGATATGTGAGGTAAGGAAAATCAAGGATTACTATTAGGTGAACCTGGATGACTGAAAAGATGGTGGTGTCCTTAACAGAACCTCGGATCTTTGAGAAGGAGATGGTTTTTTTGGGGAAAAGATAACAATAACAGTTTTGGATATGGTGAGTTAGAAATCCAATTTGATATATCCGATATGTAACTGGAAATGCATGTGTCAAGGAGAAAGACTAGGGCTGGATATATAAGAAGGCAGTTTAATTCTATCCCAACCCCCCAATCCTAGAATACATCCCCCTACAATTCATTATCCAGGCTTAAAATTTAACCAAGAGATTTAAGATACTTTCCCAAATTTCCTGTATTGTAATTAGTCATTCAATTTGTAAAATACTAGTCATTACATTGTAAAATACACTACTGTGCATCTTTCAAAACTAATTTGTTCTGTTAACTTAATTAAAAAACTATCAATATAACACATTCAAATTTTATTCCTACCTACTTTTACCTCAATTCAACTAGAACTTTACACTGTTTTGCTTGTGAATATTGCAATGCATTAAGTTGTCCTGTAAAAGGCTAAAGTACTATCGTGCAATCCAATATTTGATAATAATAAATATCTTTTAAAGTCTTTGACAGTATTTCCTATCTGATATCTTTACTGAAGTAAATGTTCCACTGAATCATACCATCTTAGGATGTCTGCACAAAAACCATCTGATTTAAAATTCAAAAGGATAAATTCAAGTAACAAAGGTTTGTTTGTTTTCTGGGGGGAGGGACAGAGAAGGAAGTTTACACTGAATGTTAACTGCTTTTGACAGAATCTTAAGTGTGTCTCTTAAGTGAAAACACAAAGAAAAGCTTCCTTTCCTTCCTCCAAAATCTAATAACATCACTGATCCTTCGACCCCTTTCCAGAGTGCAATTTGTCCTGGATCACGCTGAAATATCAATTACTGAAACGGACCTTTTCGAGGCTTCTCCATAAGGAAGAGAAGCTCTCCCGGAACTTGTGAATCCTTCCTGTGCCAACACATCTCACCCTTGTAAATACATGCCCATCTGGAAGACCCGCTCCTGGGAAGGCTCTTCGCTAGCCCTAATTTAGCGCCCTTTCTGGAGTGACTTCCCACCCCCGGGCCGCCAGCCCTGCAGAGGGGGAAGGAGCTGACCAACAAAAAAGAAAACTCAAGAGTTCTCGGGGCTGCCGAGGCCTCCGCTGCGCAGCAAAACGCCAGCCCCAAGCAGAGCGCCCGCGGACCCGAAAGCTGTCGGCCCGCCCGGAGCCCGCTCCGAGGCTCACCTGGCAGATGCGGCGGCCCGCACAGCTTCACGAAGCGGTTGAGCAGCCCCGCTCCGCGGCCCCCACCCCCGCCGCCGCCGCCGCCTCCTCCGCCGCCACCGCCGGCACCCGCGGTGCCCCCTCCTCGCCGGCGGTTTCCGTCCCAACCTTGAGCCGCCGACATGACTCGTTGTTTCCGCTCGCGAACGGCCCAGCTCCGTCCCGGCCGCTCCTCAGCCGGCAGAGCCGGTGAGGAGTAATCCCTTCCTGGGCTCCTTCTCCGGGGACTGGGATAGAACGGAAAGGGAAAGGATGGGGACGGACGAATCTCACCAATGGCCAATAGCCGACCGCCCCGGCGAAGGCAACCAATAGAAGGCCCCGTTCTTGGCAGGCGGAAAGGCGAGACGTGGTAACCATAGCTATGGCAAGAAAGAAAAAAAAGTAGAAGTGGGGGGGTAGGGGAAGGAAAAGACAAGAGCAACCACACCCTAAGCTCATCTACCCGGCTCAGGTCGCCAGCGCGGCTGCGGCTCCTGAGAAATCGATCCAGAGCCAGGAAAAGCCAAACTGGCAGAGTTAGGGAGGACGCGCAGCCCACTTACCTTACAGTTGTTGGTTCAGTCGTTTTTCAAACGTGTACGACCCTTCATGACCCCATTTGCGGTTTTATTGGCAGAAATACTGGAGTGATTTGCCATTTCCTTCTCCAGCTCATTTAGTTGATGAGGAACTAAGGCAAACAGAGTTAAGTGACTTGCCCAGGGTCACACAGCTAGGACATGTCTGAGGCCAGATTTGAACTGGGGAAGATGAATCTTCCAAGTCCCAGGCCCAGCACTCTATCCACTGTGCTAATCAGCTGTCCCATACAATCAAAATCGGAAGCTGTTACTGCAAGGAAACATTAGTCTCTCCTGTTAATCTACCATATTTTCCTTGCCTGGCTGGCAATGGTGGTGGTGTTCCCTAAAAAAATTTAAAATGGGCCTTATGGTCTAGGTTACAAAGAACTGTGGGAAACAGCAAAGTCTGGTAGTTAAAATATATATGTGAGAAGTGGTGTTCCCCGGTTCTATGCAGAACACCACTCCACCACCAGCTAACTCTTCATTAGACCCTTCTATAATTCAATATGAGCCACTTAGACAAAATAGTACGCCATTAGGAATTGCTCAAAGCTTAGAAGACAATGTTTCAAGTAAGCCTAATCTGATTAATAATAGCTTTTTGTGGTGGCAAAGAATTGGAAATTTAAGGGATGCCTATCAATTGGGGAATGGCTGAGCATTATAGTATATGATTGTGATAGAATACTATTGTGCTATAAGAAATAACGAGCAAGATGCTTTCAGAAAAAAATTTAGGAATTTACATGAACTGATGTTGAGTGAAATGAGCAGAACCAGGAGAACATTATACACAGTAACAGCCCCATTGTGCGATGACTGACTTTGATAGACTTAGCTCTTCTCAGCAATGCAAGGATTTAAGACAACTCCAAAAGACTCGTGATGGAAAATGCTATCCACATCCAAAGAAAGAACTATGGAGTCTAAATGCAGATGGAAGCATATTATTTGCTCTCCTTTTCTTTTGTTGTTTTGTTTTATTGCTTCATTCTTGTGGTTCCTCCCATTAGTTCTAATTCTTCTTTACATCATGACTAATGGGAAAATATGCTTAATGTGAATGTATAAGTAGAGCCTATATCAGATTTCATGCTGTCTTGGGGAAGGGGGAGGAGAGGGAGAGGGAGAAAATTTTAAACTCAAAATCTTGTGGAAGTAAATGTTGAAAATAAAAATAAATGAATTATTTTTAAAATAGTGCACAAATAAACAACTATAGTGTTTTCAAAGCATTCTCCACAATCCTGTGTGGTAAGTAGTACAAATGTCCATTTTGAGGAAATTGAGGCTCACATTAAGGAGGTTTGCCCATGGTCACACAGTTAGTAAATTTTCAGAGGCAGGGAGTTGAATTTATGGCTCCTTTGGCTCCAAGTTCAAGGCTCTATTTCCCAAAATCAAGGCTTCTTAACCTGGAGTCAGTCCTTGAACTTGTTTGTTTGTATGTGTGTTTGTTTTGGGGGGAATTATGTTTTGATAACTGTATTTCAACATAATTGGTTTCCTTTTTCAATATTCACTTTAAAACACTATTCTGAAAAGGGGGTCTGGTTTCACCATGTGAGGAATGCTAACAGTTTGGTTCCCACAGAATTGATAAGAAAACAGGACTGGGGAGATTATGTCATTGATTAATTGATTTCTTGGTTTATTGGTTTACACAAATATGTAAACAAGATAAGGGAGTACATCAGGCAATGTTGTCCCCCTCCCCCGCCAAAGTATCTTGTTTGTCCAGGCTTTCTGGCTCTCCCCTCCTTTTATCTTACTTTCCTGCTGAACCAACAGTTTTGTTTCGAGCCTTTTTGTGACCTTGTTGCTGGGAAAAGTTTCTGAGCTTAGACTGTGAGTTCTGAAGCCCAGCCAATGGGAAGAGGAGCTAGTGGGAGGGTGGGGGTTCTGCCTTAGGGTCTACATAAATTGGCTTTGAGCTACACTCCCTCGCACACCCTGGCTGGAGCCATCTTGAGCAATGCTGGGTATGTCCTTTCTCATGAGAAAGCAATAAAACTCCTTTTTGCCTTTCTTAAGAAAAAGTCTTTAATTTGATTATTTTGTGGGTCACAAACACCCCACACAACCAGACCAGGACTGCCAAAGGGGACTATGATCCAAAAAAATTTAAGAACCCTCCAATCCACTATACTCCTGGCTCATGTGGGAGAAGGGAGGCCCCAAGTCATCACTTATTGTTTAGATATAAATGGAGCGAGATTGATCAGTGGAGTTCTCTGATCAAATCAATGCGCTCACCAAAAGGAAAAACCCTGGAAACCTGGAAAAATTGAAAAAAATTTATATGGAAGAAAGAATTGGAAAGGGAATAAACAGCTTGGCACAAGAGGTATAAAACCTTGCCCAAGCAACAAAGTCTTTGAAAATTCAAGTGGACCTAATCAAGCCAATAACTCCATGAGGCAATAAGAAATATTAAAACAAAATCAAAAGGGAAGAAGAAGAAGATATAAGGTATCTCATAGCAAAAACAATCGACCTGGAAAATAGATTGAAGAAAAAAAAAATTAAGCATCATAAGGACTATCTGAATGCCACTACCAAAAAAAAAAAAGAGCCTGGGCATTCTATGTCAAGAAGTCTTAAAAGAAAACTGCTCAGATCTCTTAGAACCAGAGGGCAAAGCAGAAATAGAAAGAATCCACTGGTCACCTCCTGAAAGAAATCTCAAAATAAAAACTCCTAGGAACATCACAGCCAAAATTCAGAGCTTTTAAGTCAAAGAAAAAAAAATTTCTGCCAGTAGCTAGAAAGAAAAAATTTAAGTACCAAAGAGCCACAGGTAGGATCACACACAATTTAGCAACTACCACAACAAAGTAGAGGAAAACTTGCAATATGATATTCTGGAAGACAAAGGATATGGGGCTTACAGCCAAGACTTAACTTACACAGCAAAATTGAGTGTAATGCTACAGGGGAAAAAATGGTTATTTAATGAAATAGAGAACTTCCAATCATTCCTGATGAAAAGACCAACACTGTGGAGAAACTTTGAAGTACAAACACAGGAGTAAAGGAAAACATTCTAAAAAGGGGAGGAGGGGAGAGATGGGAAGAAAATTTAGAAATAAAAATCTTGTGGAAGTGAATGTTGAAAACTAAAAATAATTAAATTAATTAATAATTTTTTTTAAAAAGGTAAACATGAAAGAACCATGATAAAGAATTAAAGATAAACTGCTCACATTCAAATATGGAGAGATGAAACATGTGTCCCCTCTGATTCCTATCATCATCAAGGTTCATAGTCCAATTAGACAAGGCCTGGAAGTGGTTCTGTTATATCTTGAGGATCTTAAGAATAGAAAGAGAAAGGAAAAGGAATGCATTGGGCTGGATGGGGTGGGGAGTAGTAGGGGGAGGGGAGGGACAAGGTTAAGGGAAATTACCTGATAAAATTATGGTGTGCAAGTAAACATCTGTTTGAACCAGGAGGAAGAGGTTGAGGGGAGTAAATGATGCTCGACTGTCATTGTAAATGAGGACTTAACAGACCTCACTCTGATTTGATCAGGTCGAAAGAAAGAATACACACACACACACACACACACACACACACACACAGAGCTGAGAATGGAAATATATTTTACTCAATAGTGAAATAAGAGGGAAAAGAGGAGAAGGGGGAGGGGGACTTAGAGGGAGAGTCGATTAGTAGAAGGATTAGGCCTAAGGAAAGCAAACTCTAAGGATATACAAAAATATCCATAGCTCTTTTTGAGTTGGCAAACAATGGGAACCTGAGAGGATGCCCATAAATTGGGGAATTGATAAACAAAGTATGGTATATAAATGTGATGAAATACTATTGTGATGAACTCTTATCAGCATAATGACCAACCAGGATTCCAGAAATACTAATGATGATACAGGCTCCCTATTCTCTGATAGAGAGGTGAAGGACTCAGAATGCAGAATGAGACAAATTTTTTTAGGACATGTCTGATGTGGACATTTCTTTTGATTAACTATACATGTGTCTAATGGACTTTGTTTTTCTTGCATTCCCAATGGGGGTATGAAAGATTGAGTTAGGAGGGTAAGAAGGTAGATTTTGTCTAATTAAAATATATATGTGTGTATATGATGGGATGATGGGAGCTGGACCCCTACAAGGAAAAAACTGTGTCTTTGAAAGTAACCCAGCCCCTGAATCTTTTCATACATTTCAACAGCCTAGATCACTAGCCTCTTGACCAAGGCATCTGGCCCACCTAGATCCTTGACAGTCCTTTCACAGTGCTCTTGGCCTATCTCAAGCTATTTACCACTCCTCACTGTCCCTTTCACTGTCCCTTTTTTGTACATAAGTATCATTCTCACCCCAGTTAAGTTGCATATTCCCTAAGAATCTCAACCTCTACTATTGTCCTTACAATAAATCTTGTCATTTGACTGGAAGACGATTTGAGTGTGTGAATTTTTTCCGGTTAGACACCACCCTGTGCCCTGCCATTTCAGGGTTCCCAACAACCCCAAACTACCTCATTTTTGGTAGCCTATACAGGGATTGAACTCAAGACCTTGGCATTATCAGCCTTCCTAGGTACTTGGAGAGTGACCTCAACTGCAGAGTGAGAAAGGGATAGAGAGGAGGCTTATGTACCTTCTGGTCTTGACTTGAGGAGAGCTTGAG